TTTATTAGGTGGCAACACATTTCATCTCAAGGCAGTCTACAAATACTGTTCATTAAAATTATAAAGAAAGATTGTTATAAGTTTTCTTTCTAAAGAAATCCAGCTGATTACATTGAGTCACTGACATTGCAGGATCTGCCCTTCCTGTTGCATGTAGCAACAGAAGAAATATTTTTGCAATGTGTTGAAAAGTTTGCTGCAATCCTGTACATAAAGCATGCATGTAGCCACAATGACAGGAAAAACTAGGTTGCCTGCATAGGTGTTGCAGTGAAGGCAAAGTCCCTGCCCCCTCCAAAGACACTCTGCTGCACCTCTCCGAAATTGTAGGTGACCGCAGACAGTGCCGCAGACACGAGGCATCTGATTGGTCAAATCTAGCGGGTAGGTCCCTCGTTCCTCTGAGATGGGGTGGGGGGTTTGTCTCATCTCAGAAGAACGAGGGACCTACCCGCTCCAGCCGGTGAACAATACCTCCTTAACGACCAACTCTTAACAATCATAGACAGGTTTCAGGTATTACAGGACACAATCCCCCCCTTAACGGCAATCCCCCCTTTAACGACCGACCCCTAGAATCATAGACGGTTTCAGATATTACAGGCTAATGATGGAACTAAACGACCCATTCATCGGTTACCATTTGCATGTTTCCGAGCAATACAAGGCCTTGCCCATATAAGACTCAAACTCACTGCGGATCCAGACATTTGAATTGAGAAAGCTTCCTGGAGAGGTGGCGAAATGTCTTCAAATCTTGAAAACCAAGTCCAGTGGATATTTTTTGAATTTTTACGGAATGACTATGACCTGGATGACTGAGAACCTTCATCAGCATCTGTTTCAAGACTCTAAACTCGTCAGCACAGGCTGCTGCGTTACAGGAATACAGTTCAAAAAGTTAAGCGTTTCTTATTTTTTAAGTTTTTAAATTTTCTCACCACTTTCTTCGCTTGTACTTGGGGCCATTCTTAAACACATTTCATCCAGATGTGTTTGGTGATGCAGGTATACATTAAGATGTCTCAATCTTGTACTTTGAAATTAATAATCATATTATTTCTTTATCCAAAATGTCAACATTCTGGTCCTCAAAAGAATGTCCTTTGTCCACAAGGTGTAGATGTACTGCAGAGTCTGGTCCAGAGGAGGCCACCCTTCTGTGTTGGGCCATGCGTCTGGGGAGAGGTTGTTTGGTTTCTCCAATATAAAGATTGGAGCATTCCTCGTTGCACTGAACAGCATATACCACTCCGCTCATATTGGGTCTGGGAGTTTTATCTTTAGAATGCACTAGCCTCTGTTTAAGGGTTTTGTTTGGTTTGAAATGAAGTGGGATTTTGTGTTTGGAGAAAATCCTCTTGAGTTTTTCAGAGACTCCAGCAACATAAGGGATTGTGATGTTTTTGCGTTTCATTTTTTCACCGCTCTCTTCTGCTGCGTATCTTTTGGATTTCCTTGCTGATTTGATAATTGCCCAGTTTGGGTATCCACAGGTTTGGAGAGCATCTTTGATGTGTTTCTGTTCTTTGTGTATCCCCTCTGTTTTAGTAGGGGCATGTTCAGCACAATGTTGTAAGGTTCTGATGACTGAAAGTTTGTGTTCCAGTGGATGGTGTGAGTCAAAAAGAAGTTACTGGTCTGTGTGTGTAGGTTTCCTATACACTTCAATGTTTAGCCTTCTATCTCCTTCCATTCTGACCAAACAGTCCAGGTAGTCAAAGGTAGTTTGTTGTCCTCTGCATCCTCTCTGGTGAATTTGATGTTGTGGTCAACAGTGTTGATGTGTCTTGTGAAAGCTTACACTTCTTTTAGCTGTATTTTGAAGAATTTGTCATTCACATATCTAAACCATAGATGGTGGTGGTGTTCCATTGAAAGTGTCTAATGCTCTCTTTTCTATTTCTTCCAAGTAAAGATTGGCTACAATTGTAAAAAAAATCTCTGAATTTGAAATAGGTTGTGGAAAAACAAGCCCCAGTAGCGTGCAGATCTGGTCCGGAGTAAAATTAGTCCTGTTGTTTAAGTCACTATCTTGTTGAAGACCTGCCCTGACTGTTTCCACTGCCTCTGTTATAGGTATTAGGGATGGGACGATTTATGAAAACCGTCCGAACCGTTCGGTTCGACTGTCTTGGTTCGATTCGCATGTGTTTCGTTCGGTTCATGCGCTGCTCCTTTTTCTCATAGGCGAAGCATTTACACTCCAGAGCAGAAGGTGGCGGTACTGTGACCAAAGCCAACCACCAGTAGTAAACAAGAAGAAGAAGAAGAAGCGAAGCAGCTTAGCCGGGTGTAGCAGGGAAAAAAAATCAGTTGTGGAGAATTGTGTCTGAGGCGAGTGGGAAAGAACAGGAGTTGGAAGACGCGCCAGCAGCACTTTATAGGTCTGCTAACAGCAACATGACCAACATGTCATGCTAATCCCGAAATCCCACATACTCCGCCCCGCTGCGCTCCAGCTCCTCAAAGCCTACAGCCTCCACTGTGGCTCCTGTCCGCTCCCCTCTGAGTCCCTTGGAGATGGTAGAGAGCATGCACGAGATGATTAAATTCAAAGCAGCAAAACATACAGAAATAATCCAGGGTTTCCGAGGATCTTTTAAAATAATTACAATCCATTATTTTTTGGGGGATTTTTTCATTAATTTCATAAATTTTTATGGGATTTCGGTGTAACAATCAACATATACCGAATCGAACCGAAAACCGTTACCACGAAACCTTGATTTGAACCGAACCGTGGATTTTGTGAACCGTTCCACCCCTAATAGGTATGCATGTGAAAATGGAAGCAACATCAAACAGGGTTTCTCCTGGTGCCATCCTTAAATGTTTGACTTTGTTAGCAACGTCTTTGGAGTTTTCTATGTGATGTGGAGTGTTTCCCACCAAGGGGACTAAGATATTAGTAAGCAGTTTAGCAATGTTGTATATTACTGAGTTAATGCTGCTGACAATGGGCCTGAGTGGTGTTCCTTCCTTGTGAATTTTTGGGAGTCCATATAAGCATGGAATTCCCTCCCCTGGATATAATCTAAAATAGGTTGTACTGTTAATACCTTGTCTTTTTCGAGTTGTTTGAGATGGTCTATTATTTTAAGAAGTTGTCATGTTTCTTACTAAGGTCAAGCTTTTACAACATCAAAAAAACAAAAGAAAGACAAAAAGCTAAATTCAAAAAATCACAACAGAAAGCAGTGTTTAAACAAGAGAGCAACATGACTCAGGAAGAAGACTCCAACATCAAGGTCCAGTACAAGTGGGTCAAAAACCTGTCTACCAGACCACTGACAAAACCAGAGATGGATGAACTGAATAAAGGCCTGAATTTTGCCATTTCTTCACAAGAAATACCCTTTGTGCAACTGATCACTGCCACTAAATCTGCCATCAGGAACAAAAACCTGGCTGAAATAGAGGCAGAGCAACTCAGAATGAAGGTAACAGCTACCCTGTCCAGTGCCAAACCACCTCCTTCCAACCTCCCACCACAGGAAATGAAAGCCATAACACCCCTTAGCCAAGACCAAAGCATCACCATATTACCAGCAGACAAAGGAAGATGCACCATGGTCCTCAAAACCTCAGACTACCAAGACAAAATTATCACTCTACTGAACGACACTACCACATATTAATCCTTGAAAAGCGATCCAACCAACCCATACAAAAATAAAATAATAAAACAGAACAATCCCTCCCTCAACGAGAATCATAGACAGGTTTCAGATAATTCAGGCTAACAATGGAACCAAACGACCCACTCGTCGGTTTCAATTTGCATGTGTCCAAGCAACACAAGGCCATGTCTATATAAAGCCTCAACTCACTGCGGATCCACACATTTGAATTGAGAAAGCTTCCTGGAGGGGAAGCGAAACGTCTTCAAACTTTGGAAACCCAGTCCAGTGGATTGTTTTTAAACTTTTACGGAATGACTATTATCTGGATGACTGAGAATCTTCATCAGCATATTTTTCAATAGAATCAATCTTATTTCTTATAAGAATATGAAACCAGAGCATAAACAACAATAAATATATGGATAAGTTAGTGTTGTGTGGATTAACTTGATTATTCAACATGGATGACATTTTGATTTCAGAAGTGGGGGAACGCAAATATCTTTTAATATAACTAACTTAAGGATGTTTGACCATCCAATTGGGGACCCGATTCAGTGGCGTATCAGATGTTTGTAAAGTGAGATTTTTGTGACAGCCAATGACACCAGAAAAGACGGAGGGCTAATCAGGAGCTTGTGGGCGGTCTAAATTCAGTGAAGTGGGCTTCAGCTTAAGCTGAGGTTTTCCGCTTGGTTTTAGTGCTCAACGAATTGACTGTATCGTAACTTTTTTTTTGGACAGTAAAAAGTGCAGGGGAACAAAACAGACGTTTGAAAAAGTCCAGGGGACATGTCCCATCTGTCCCACCAAAAAATTATGTCAATGTTCAGCAGTGATGACGTCGACTGAATGCAGTACATTTGAGATAAACTACAGTAAAAAATGGCAGCCAGGTTCAGCATCACTATATGACTTCACAAATGCTCTCCTTTAAGAATTGTGAAATGTATCAACAGACTTATAACACTTGTTATGGGGCTCCTAGGATTTAGAATTAGAACTATTATAGATTCAAGCAGTGAATTCACAATATATGAAAGCCTTTGTTAAGAAAGACATGTTATTAACATTGATCTGTTTATACGATAGAGTGACCCTGTACTTTTAATAATTAATGTTACACTAACCCAATTCCACCATGTCTAGAAATGTATTTAAAATGCTGCAAGGCATGCCTGTTTTTTTAGCTAGCATTGCAAGAAATTATGTGTCACTAACACTGAGATTTTTTAGCTGGATCAATACAGGAGTATATACCTCCTATCATTACCATGGAAACTCCTTGGACCGTTTCTTCCCTGTGGGGAGTGTGAATGTGCAGTGAACCTTTCCGCAATCTCCATTCAATTTGACTTTCTTTTTTTTTGCAAGGTCCTTGCAACATGGCGTCTTTATTTCCTGGCTCCAAAGATTCCTGCTAAGGTACTACTTATAAGCTTTCTCAAGTAAATGCTCTGTGTGAGTTTTTTTTTTTCTTTTATATCCAGCTAAAGTCATTAGTGTTTTTTAAATACTTCTTTGACCCAACAGGTAGAAATTACATTCAACTTCTTGGAGATTCAAGCTTTGAATTCCCACCCTGATCACCAGGTTAGTGTACCTAACTCTGCCTTCTGCTCACATTGCCACAAATGCTGTACTGCTGTTTGTGTCTGTCTTAGGACTCTTATGTCCCTCTGGCCTTGAAGGCAGTTCTTTATTTGTTATCTAGAAAAGAGAGACTTCATTGCATTTTTGTCAATGAATATGATGGATTTTTTTTTTATTTCTGCATTTTCATCCAAAGTTAATGATATTCTTTCATTTAGAACAGAACATTTTGTTCCTGAAACTTTCACTTTGCTCCCTTTTCACTCGCTTTGAGGCTGAGTGCCTGATCGTTTATTTTTAGGCTTCACTCAGGAGGCGGCAAGAAGCCTAATATCTGTTTTGACATGCAGCGCAGTGTAGCACACTGTAAAGCTTGTTAAAAGTATTATAACATTTCCATATTGACTTGTAAAATAATAAGTAATTAACATGTTTTGGTTTGTCAGAACTGAGTTGAAGACAAGGACGACTTTAAAAAGTAGGATACATCAGGAACCTGCTGTCCATTAGGGATTGCTAAGGTGCTATAGGCAGAGAAAAATTACAAACATAGACCTGAATCTGAAAAGACAGAAGAAGAGTTTTATTGCATGTCTTATATTTTGTGTGCAGGTTATTATAGACACAGACAAGTCTGGTTACACCCTGAGGTTCGAGTCCCGTGAGCACCTCAATCATGTTGTTGGCCATATTAATTTCGCCCTGTCCAGAATATTCAACAACTCCATCTTTGCGTAAGTTACCCCTGGCAAGAGAAAATCTGATTATTAGACTTCAATGTTTAATCTTTCTGATTATGTGTCTTTTTAATGCACATCATAGAGCAACAGTATGTAAAAATGGTCAGCAAGAGTTAGCATTGGTTTTAAGCAGAGTATTATACATTTTTATAGCTTATTATTTTGCAGCATAAATAGCTATTTCTCAGCTTCTTGGTCAATAGGATTTAAAGGTTTAAAGGTAAGTGAACTGCTTTTTGCAATTTTTTGTTCCTCTGTCAAGATTCACAGAATAAAGAAGCAATTATGTGCAAACTGCACGTCAACAAGAAACTGCAGAAAAAAGGCTGTATTTACTATTATACAATAAAATTTCATAGCAATATTAGGCAACAACATGAAAATATTAGTACTACTTAAAAAAAAATGCACAACTCCCAAACACCTTGCTTTATATCACCTGATTCCTTCTAGCAGTTTTTCCATAAAGAAATACTTTAAATGTGACTAAAAATATGTCGCTAAAAGTATGTTTAACATTAATTACACAGCATTGTGCGTAATTTTACAAAAACTTCCATTAAAACAAAAATCGCATAGAAGAAAATATATTCATACTCTGCATATTTTTAAACGTTTTTCTTTATTTGAAAACATAAATGATGAAATGATTGTAAAAATGACAACAATTTTCCAATCTTGGTGTAACATTTGTGGCTCTGAAAAAGATATAATTATCTGGACCAAGGCAGTTTGGCTTGCTAACAAAATGTACAATAAAGGTATTGTTTTAGGCATGCAAGGTTTCCATCCCAAACACTTCCTGATATACTATGAATTATGCATTACACACAGATCGATAAAATCTTCATTGCTCCAAAAAAGCAAATAACAAAAACATTCTTCTTCCTACTTTGGCAATTTTGGCTTTTGGGGTCAAAGTAGATTTTAATTCACATGGTTTTGATGTAAAAAAAATAAAAACAAATAAATAAATAAAAAAAAATACAAAGAGAACATACACTCACCGGCCACTTTATTAGGTACACCTGTCCAACTGCTCGTTAACACTTAATTTCTAAACAGCCAATCACATGACGGCAACTCAGTGCATTTAGGCATGTAGACATGGTCAAGACAATCTCCTGCAGTTCAAACCGAGCATCAGTATGGGGAAGAAAGGTGATTTGAGTGACTTTGAACGTGGCATGATTGTTGGTGCCAGAAGGGCTGGTCTGAGTATTTCAGAAACTGCTGATCTACTGGGATTTTCACGCACAACCATCTCTAGGGTTTACAGAGAATGGTCCGAAAAAGAAAAAACATCCAGTGAGCGGCAGTTCTGTGGGCGGAAATGCCTTGTTGATGCCAGAGGTCAGAGGAGAATGGCTAGACTGGTTCGAGCTGATAGAAGGGCAACAGTGACTCAAATAACCACCCGTTACAACCAAGGTGGGCAGAAGAGCATCTCTGAACGCACAGTACGTCGAACTTTGAGGCAGATGGGCTACAGCAGCAGAAGACCACACCGGGTGCCACTCCTTTCAGCTAAGAACAGCAAACTGAGGCTACAATTTGCACAAGCTCATCGAAATTGGACAATAGAAGATTGGAAAAACATTGCCTGGTCTGATGAGTCTCAATTTCTGCTGCGACATTCGGATGGTAGGGTCAGAATTTGGCGTCTACAACATGAAAGCATGGATCCATCCTGCCTTGTATCAATGGTTCAGGCTGGTGGTGGTGGTGTCAGGGTGTGGGGAATATTTTCTTGGCACTCTTTGGGCCCCTTGGGACCAATTGAGCATCGTTGCAACGCCACAGCCTACCTGAGTATTGTTGCTGACCATGTCCATCCCTTTATGACCACAATGTACCCAACTTCTGATGGCTACTTTCAGCAGGATAATGCACCATGTCATAAAGCTGGAATCATCTCAGACTGGTTTCTTGAACATGACAATGAGTTCACTGTACTCAAATGGCCTCCACAGTCACCAGATCTCAATCCAATAGAGCATCTTTGGGATGTGGTGGAACGGGAGATTCGCATCATGGATGTGCAGCCGACAAATCTGCGGCAACTGTGTGATGCCATCATGTCAATATGGACCAAACTCCCTGAGGAATGCTTCCAGCACCTTGTTGAATCTATGCCACCAAGAATTGAGGCAGTTCTGAAAGCAAAAGGGGGTCCAACCCGTTACTGGCATGGGGTACCTAATAAAGTGGCCAGTGAGTGTACATAATTGCCTTGTACTGCCATGGGAATCCAGACCTAAACTGAATGAATATGCTAACTAAAATTTTGAAGTATTGAAAGGAAACACAGAAGTTTTTTTAATGACAATACAAGGAAACATTTACATTTTATTTGAATAGATAAAAAGGAGAAAAATCAGAGAGAAATATTCAAAGATCTATGTACCTTTTTACCTGGCTCTTTATCCTAAAATAAACAGTATGTAATCAAACATTTTATTTGGATATAATTTAGGGATTCCTTAAAGAATGTTTGGTATCACCTCTAGATAAAAGATTTTTTTATTTTTGGCAGAGGATGATCAGCCACATAGTTTATTAAGTAGCAATGGAAGAGCCATACTGCTGAGAGCATCAGTCTGGAGTGTGAAGTGCAGACTTGCAGCTCGGTGCGCAAAGACGCATATCTGCACAAGCACAGCTGGCAGAGCAAAGCAGTTTCTCAGAGCTGAGCGAGCAGTACCGGACCAATCCCGGTTATTTTCTCAGAACCTTCCGCCGCTGCTGCCATGATCTATCTATGCTACTGCAGCATGTGTATCGCTGCGCAGCAGGTGGGCAGCAGGATCAATTAAGATGCAGCAACACGGGTGGTACTGCTTTGCTGATTACAGCTCAATGATGCAGTTTAAATGTCTGGCCGACTACCCACTATTTTTTATTTAGTCTTGCCTCTCGTCGACTAAACCTCAAACTACTCTTGTTTTATTTATTAAAGATCCATGTTTAGTTTGCCAGTTTTCATTATTGTGATGAAAAGAATTAGCGTCAACGAAATTATTTTGTCATCTTCATCCTTGACGTAAACAACACTGGACCAAGGTTAAAATCCCTCACTGGAGTGTTTCAGGCTGCAGTAACTCTGTTTGCTAGCATGTTATTTATGTTGGTTCCCTCACATTATTAATTATATAGCTTTCTATGAAATCTCATTCATGTTAGTTTGTCTTGGTATCAAGAGTATGAATTTACAGTGTTCTGCTTTATCAGGACGGGCTTATGTTACTTTGCTTTCTTCCTCTTTCCTATTTCATGCATTTATTTAGTAATTTATTGACATATTTGGAAATAAAGGTCAAAGCTCTCTTGTGTCTTAAGTATTCAAATTGTGTGCTGTTAAATTAATTAGAAAGACAGCAAAAAGCATTGATCAAGCTGAGCTAAGTCTTCATCTGCTCAGGCAGACCCCAGTGTAAGTCATTTTCTTACATCAACACTGCATGAAAAGTGAGATTTTCGTCCCCGTAAACTCCCGCAGATCTCCCTGATTTTCGTCAGTTAACGACAATTTGCAAACCGCGCTTGTCGCCGTTTGTCAGTGCCACAAATTGTCGGGAACGGACTCTGACGTATGTGGAGAGCGATCAGCTGTACTAATGGCCCTAATTAGCATATGAATGCAGCAAACCTGCGCGGCTGGCCAGGTCTGGCTTGAATAACCTACTCAGTATTGGCTGAAACCACTATTCTCAAACAAGTAAAATCGCTCGTGATTGGCAGCAAAACCACACGTGGCTGGATGGAACCACTTCTTTTTAAACAAGTAAAATCACTCGTGATTGGTTGGCATATATATGTATATATATATATATATATATATATATATATATATATATATTTTATATATATATATATATAAATATATATTTATATATATATATACATATTTATATATATAAATTTATTTATTTATTTATTTATTTATTTATTTATTTATTTATTTATTCATATGCTGTATATTTATGTTATCCTACACTACTACACTATTATTAGACTACCATCAAGGACATGAATGAATTTATACAGGAAATGAACATTTGCCAGGAAGATGTTTATGCAAAGAAAGAGCTTTATTAAAACAAACACAACTATATACAACGCGAGGATCTGCCCACACATGCGTATCCAAAAATTACAACTCTGTGAACCGTCCGTTTGCCTCCTTGGGGTTGGAGGTAACTGGCAGCATTCTCTCCGACGCAGGTCCGATGTGCAGACGCCTACTGTGCGTGGCCCTGTACTTCGGCATCGCTTCTAATCGGGACTGCAGCTTAACACAGAGTTCAGAGAGATCCGGCCTACGAAATGGCGGCGGCCATTCCAGAGTTCCACTCCCTCATCGGCTAGCACACTCTGCCTCGATTTCGGCAGCTGTAAAAAAAACAATGAATCAGCACTATGCGATGGGATGCACTGCGTATGGACACCACACATCTATCAATGCACCTGAAAAATATTCACCAAATAAAGTCTTACCCTCTTTCTTCTAGCTCGACTCCGAGCTGAATGCTTGGCAGCTTCCGCACGCAACGTGTTCGCTGGCTGCGTATATCTGAAGCTCCTGCGTACCATCTCATAATACGTCTTTCAGGCAGCTGGAAAACAATTAAATGAGAGTGGTATGAATAAAAAAACAAATGCAAGTCACAGTAACAAGAAAGGAGAAAACATTACAACAAGTCACTTACACACAATGTCGTCTTTATCAACATCGTGCAAATCTGGACTTGCTGATATGGCTCCGAGCAAATAGGAGGTCACCGCCTCATTGTGAGGCGAGATTAGTCTGTAAAAACAAAATGTACAGCTATGATCGGTATCTATCCGTATCTATTTCCTTTCACCGCAGAATGAAAGCATATTCTTTAAATCTTACCCTTGCTCTGGTTCATAGCGCCTGCAATTTGTCTCCGAGTTGTGAAGACAGCGTACTGCTTCCTGTGAATCACAAAAAATACACTTTAATAAAGCTTGTTATTGCAAGGCTAATATTAGCCGTAGCTTTAGGCTATGCTGCTTTTAGCTTAGCTTAGCTTAGCTTAGCAGTAATCGAACATATATTTACCGCCAGCTTCTCTTCTTTGAGTTCGTCTTTCCCGCAGAGTTGTTCGACTGCTGAAAGTTGTGGATCGCGTCCAAGAGGAGTTGAAGGCGAGTTGAACGCGAGACGTCGTCCAGCCATTGATCACGTACCAGCAAAATCCAAACAAAGGAACTGGAGATAAAGTTCTTCTAACAAACATGTCTGCTTGCCCATAAGCTCACACGTGATTGGACGAGCAGTCAAAGGCTCGCCAGGCTCCTCATACGAGGTCATTGCTATACGGAAGGACTCGCGAGAGCAGCTCGCGTCTATCTTCTTTTTTTTTTTTTTTTTTTTGCTTTATTGGCAATTCCATGTAACAATACAGAGTAATTCAAACATCAAACAGATAAACAGCAGTTGGTGACATTATGACTTTTAAAAAAATGAGACATAGAATGTAAAAAATAAATAAAAATAAAACAAGGGTAACAAACATATAAATAAATAAACAAATAAATAAAATAAACATAAAATAATCATAGCTAGGGGTTTACATTGAGTTTATGGTCATTTACAAAAGTGTATAATTTTATACCATTTTTCTTCTTCATAAATTTAAGTGACTGAAAATACAAACAAAGTTCTTTAAGAAAAATGTTGAAGTTTGGCTTGGTCCTCGTGTATTTGTTTTTGTGAATGTAAAATTTCCCCATCATGACATGCAGGTTATCTGTCATTTCTAGTCCAAACAAAACATTCTCTTTTGTCCAGATGAGAAGGAGAATCAAATTTAGATGAACACCAGAAGCAGAAATCTTCCCAGAAAACTTTCACGTACATACAATCGTAAAAGAGGTGACCAACAGTCTCTGTTTCACATTCACAGAAGGTGCAATCAATTTCTTCAAAAACCAAAACGGAGCCTCAGAAATTCCTTGAAAGGATAAATGTCAGTGATTATTTTGAAATGGACTTCTTTAACCTTTGGAGCAACAGGAAACTGTAGATATTTATTCCGCAGTTTTCCCACTTTCTCTTTTGGAAAATGCTTGGAGATTAGGTTTCTGTGGGATGTATCGGGATGAAATTCCTTTACAAACAAACTACCTATGACATTGTTGGTCGGCTTTTTATCAATAACAGACTGACTGTTGAGTAACAGAGAGGGAAGTTTTACCTGGACATGGTTTAGGAGTAGGTTGCATGACACCACCGGAAATGAGCCCGACTTACTGCCGGCAATGCGGACCAGACTCTGACACCGGTCATACAGGGACCTGACAGCCCGTATCAAAGGGCCCGGCACCCCGTATTCCCGGAGAACCCCCCACAGGGCCCCCCGAGGGACACGGTCGAACGCCTTCTCCAAGTCCACAAAGCACATGTAGACTGGTTGGGCGAACTCCCATCCTCATTTCCGGTGAGAGTTGGACTCCGCCAGGGCTGCCCTTTGTCACCGATTCTGTTCATTACCTTCATGGACAGAATTTCTAGGCGCAGCCAAGGTGTTGAGGGGATCCGTTTTGGTGGCCTTAGGATTGCGTCTCTGCTTTTTGCAGATGATGTGGTCCTATTGGCTTCATCAGGTCGTGATCTGCAGCTCTCGCTGGATCGGTTCGCAGCCGAGTGTGAAGCGGCCGGGATGGGGATCAGTGCCTCCAAATCCGAGGCCATGGTCTTGAGCCGGAAAAGGGTAGAGTGCCTTCTCCGGGTCAGGGGGGGTGTCCTGCCCCAAGTGGAGGAGTTTAAGTATCTTGGGATCTTGTTCACGAATGAGGGAAGAAGGGAGCGGGAGATCGACAGGCGGATTGGTGCAGCATCTGCCGTGAAGCGGGCGCTGTACCGGTCCGTCGTGGTGAAGAGAGAGCTGAGTCAAAAAGCGAAGCTCTCGATTTACCGGTCGATCTACGTTCCTACTCTCATCTATGGTCATGAACTCTGGGTCATGACCGAAAGAACGAGATCGCGGATACAAGCGGCTGAAATGGGTTTCCTCCGTAGGGTGGCTGGGCTCTCCCTTAGAGATAGGGTGAGAAGCTCGGTCATCCGGGAGGGACTCGGAGTAGAGCCGCTGCTCCTCCACGTCGAGAGGAGCCAGTTGAGGTGGCTTGGGCATCTGTTTAGGATGCCTCCTGGACGCCTCCCTGGTGAGGTGTTCCGGGCATGTCCCACCGGGGGGAGGCCCCGGGGAAGACCCAGGACACGCTGGAGAGACTATGTTTCTCGGCTGGCCTGGGAACGCCTTGGGGTTCCTCCTGAAGAGCTGGAAGAAGTGGCTGGGGAGAGGGAAGTCTGGGCCTCCCTCCTTAAGCTGCTGCCCCCGCGACCCGACCCCGGATAAGCGGAGGAAGATGGATGGATGGATGGATGGATGCATGACACCATGATCAGAGGCTGAGGAAGGGCTTTGATTAATATATTATATTTTTTTCTGTTATTTATTTCGAATTTAGCGCAAAGAGTTTCAAAAGGTAAAAAATTCCCTTTGTCATCAAGAATGTGCATTATCGACCATATACCACTTTCTAGCCAGCTCTTGTAAAATAAAGACTTGTTCCTGAATAGGACATATCGGGAGTTCCATAGTGGGGTGTTATGAGGACTAAAATTATGCTTAAATATTAGTTTCCAATAAAGTAAGACATCTTGATGAAAAGAAGAAAGTTTAACAGGAAGTTTCTTAGGATCAAAATCACATTTAAGAAGGAAGTTAATTCCTCCTAATTCTATAAATAATTTGGAGGGGATATGAAACCAAAAACTATTTTTCAGAAAAGATTTGAGCCAATTCATTTTAATCATTCCGTCTAAACATTCAAAGTCTATTGCTTTAAGACCTCCATCATTATACTCTTTAACCATTGCTCCTTTCCTAATGCAGTGTGTCTTGTTTTTCCAGATAAAGTTGAAGTTAATTTGATTATATTATAGCTTTAATTGCATGTTTAGGAAGGGATATGGAATAAGCTGGATAGATAAATCTTGAGAGACATTCCATTTTTGTAAGGAAAGTTCGACCAAAAATTGATATGTCACGTTGAGACCACAAATTTAAGTTAAGTTTACATTTATCTAAAATATTCCAACAGTTTAGTTTTTCCAGTGATTTATTGTCTTTGGTGATGTCAACACCAAGATATTTCACGGCAGATTTAACAGGGATGTTATGAATGGCAGTCTGAGAAGAGTCGTGTATCGTCGCGTCTATCATGTAAACATGGCTTCATCCCCATCCGGACAGACATTTTTATGGAAAGCCAATAGAAGTTTGGGGCTTGCAGTGAACAGACACGTCATACCCATTTCTGCCAGTTGAGCCAGTTGAGCGCATTGCTAGAAGATGTGTGGTTAATACATCCTCTGTGCATTTAAGTAAGACCAAAGAAAAGGTGACGGTAGTCATGCCACTATGCACAGTAGTTGAGCTCTAGGAGACTGTGATCTCTGCAGACCCCTCATTCTAGAAAAATGTCACTTGGGGTAAAACTCCCCCTGCAACCCTGATTTGCATTTGTATAGCTCACAGCATTTTCATTTACATGTTAAAGCCTCCCCTAGAATTCCATGGGGGGGAGGCATGGGGGGAACACTGCCTAAGAAAGCCCACGTCAATTTCTGACAATTTATGGGAGTTTTCGGCGATGCCTGCAAATTACCGTGAACAGCCGTTAACCTGAAATTCCACGACAATCTACAGTGCCGCATAGGCCTACTGACGAAAATCAAACTTTTCATGCCGTGTAATGTATTCTCTTTCTCCACTGAAATGGAATGCTGATATACAATAGTGTATCAGGAAGATAACAGTGTATTGGGAGGTGGGGGTTGTCAGCTTTGTTTACTACAGATTTTTTAAAAACCTGGTTTTACGTTTATACCAGCTCATGCCTAGCTATCACATGTCAGCGTAACGTTTGATATAAAGTCTCAAAGATGCATGACCTTTACTGTATTTGCTCTATTATCAAGAATATAGATGAGCCATTAGAGAATCTGATTTCTTTTTTTGCCGGCAGCCCGTCCATCTGTCACTCAGACAGCGACCTATCCGAGGGCAGCAGGAAGTATTCGCCCAGCTCAGAAACTTCAGTGGAAACGCAGAGGGCCTGTGGTAAAAAGAGACGTTATTATCCAGCACTGGAATCTGCACACAGACAAACATGTGGAGTCACACATGGAGCTATGAGCACGTGTATATGGCTTCAGCTGGCTACGAAAGAAGCCGACACACACATTTCACAAATGCTCTCTCAGATGTTCTTTTTAGAACCGTTGCCCAAATGAAAGATTGATAATAGGGCTGTATGTTTGTGTGTGCATTTTTCTTCTCTTTTTTCCCTTCAGAGCTAAAAGAAGCAGCTGTTAACATAATTTCTCATTCCCTTTTTTATATCTCTCCACTATTGTTTGTTTGCTCCCGTCTGTCTCTCTCAGGAGGCTTCTCAGAAACCTACGCCGCTCTGTGCGACTATAATGGCATCAGCTGTAAGGAGGAAGTGCAGTGGGTAAGAGCTGTGGGACTATGTCAGTGCCACTGTTAGTGCTTTTAGTGTTACAGACTGCACTGAGCACAAAATGAATGGTCATACATCGAAGCAAAGAGGCTCATGGGTAATATTGCTCCTAGGATGTGGACACTATCTATCACTCTCAGGACAGCCGGGAAATTAACCTGCTGGATTTTAGCCACTTGGAGAGCAGGTCAATGACAAAAGATTACCAAGCACTATTTACTTCAGATTATGATGCCTTGTTTACTTCATCTTAATCTCTTCCAGGGATTTGGCAGTGATTGTTGCATCAATGGCCTATAACACCTGGTTTACCAAAATCTACTGCAAAGACCTTCGCCTTGTAAGTGCTAATTTACTATTTAATGTTGTGATTTTATGTTCTATTCAATTCCCAGCCAGCTGGGAATTTATATTTCTGATACTTTAAGATGTCTATTGCCCTCCCCGGTAGGGGTGGTAAAATATCTTATTTAATCAAATATTATTTCGGCTGTTATATACTGTTTATGAACACACACCCTACTAGCTGTGCGTTAAAACAATAAATGAGTCACTCGAGCTCTTATAATGGTCAAACAGTTAATTCTGCACTTACATGGAATAAATTCACCACAACTTCTGTTCAAAATATAAGTTTATTAACAAAAATCATGCAGCTACAACTCAAACATATTTCAGTTTAACACTCTCAACTAAAGTAGTAGTGAAACTCAACTAAACTAAACCATTAAGTACCAAGACGAAGAGAAACATGGTTGAAAACCATAGTACAGTTTAAGAGGGATCTTGTGTTTGAAAACCAATGTTTATCTGGAAGAATTTGGCATGTGATCAAATCAGCTTTTCACTAATTTAGAGCATTTAGAATGTTTTTTAACCAAATCACAATGCAAATCCATGAGGTGAAAAAAAAACATTATTTGGCCAAATAATGTTTTATTAAATGATTTGCTTAATCAGGAACCAATAACCTTTATTTAATGATCCTTTACCCTTTTTGAAATAGCTAGAAGCGAACAGACACCAGGATTCCACTTAATGACTCTTGGTCATACTTGGTAATCAAATTGTAATGCGCATGAGGAACACATGAACACTAATGTTATATCTGTGTTTAAACCCTTAGTGAAATAAAACGTATCCAAGCTTCAGCAACAGCTCAACACGTGTCTGTATAGCATTGCGTAACATGCAGCCCATTCTGTTAGCGTTTGTCTCTACTCATCAGTAAACACATGAAAAGATCATCAAAAGACATATTGTTTGTTCTGTCCTTAATATATATACCAGACCTTCAAACCATTTTTCCATGTCCATTTAAAAAGGTTGAGTTTCCATCCAGCTGCAGCTCAGCAGTCAGGGCAGCAACAAGCAGGGGTGGGAGGCTGGGAAGTCACACCTCCGTGGGCTGCAATGTGACTTGTGTGGAGGCCTTGGCTGAAAAGGGGGGTTCAAAATATTCCACAGCTGTTTATTCACCAAACTTGCGTTCTCTTCTCTGGTCATCATGTCAAGATGAAACATGGGCACTGGTTCCCAATGCCCAAAAAGCATAATCATGTCATTTTGCACAACATATTATCCCTTTTTGATCTAAAAAAATTTAGATGCTATTCTTTGTTTTCAGATCAACAAATAGGTTCATAAAGCCATGAGATCTGGAACAGATTTGGATTCCTCTTGGCAGGAAGAAATTTCGTTTAGGGTTCATATCTTCTCCAGTCCCTGGATGATTTGTTGCAGGTCTGGCAAAAGCTGACACTAACATTTTCTTTTGTCTGGTAGAGCAGGTCTGCCAGGAAAATGTGACCCTGATACACAAATATATGCATTCCAAACAAAATTCCTAACACCTACATGATTCTGTTGTTCAATCTTCATCATTTCTCAAGTCGTGAAACAAAAGAAAGGGTAAAATAGGTTGAAGTATGTTAGAAATTATCATATGGATATGATAAGTTTTACCATTAGCTTTGAATTGTAGTACTTTGTGATTGGTCAGAGATGCCATTAGCTCTTTTTTGCAGCTCTGTTCTAAGTTTTCTTTTGAGAATATTGGTGTAGCTCGTTTATGTCCCCCTTTACCAGTGTCAACCTTTTGTTTTGCATTGTGGTAAGGTTTGTGACATTTATCTGGGGGTTCTGGTTTTCGTTCTCTCAAGTCATTAATTCATTCATTTTGGTGATCCACTGGGGAACTGAATCTGTGTCTCTTTCTGATCCTGTTCTTTGTTTAAAGGTTTAAGACTCTAAGCTTGCATTGAAATCTATTTGATTTGTGATGTATTTCCCAAAGTAGCTGACCATACCTGCAAGGCTCCTGCATGGAAAGGTTCTCTGTCCTGCAATGCATTGGAACATTACACTCACCGGCCACTTTATTAGGCACCCCATGCAAGTAACGGGTTGGACCCCCTTTTGCCTTCAGAACTGCCTCAGTTCTTCGTGGCATAGATTCAACAAGGTGCTGGAAGCATTCCTCAGAGAGTTTGGTCCATATTGACATGATAGCATCACACAGTTGCCGCAGATTTGTCGGCTGCACATCCATGATGCGAATCTCCCGTTCCACCACATCCCAAAGATGCTCTATTGGATTGAGATCTGGTGACTGTGGAGGCCATTTGAGTACAGTGAACTCGTTGTAATGTTTAAGAAACCAGTATGAGATGACTCCACCTTTATGACATGGTGCATTATCCTGCTGAAAGTAGCCATCAGAAGTTGGGTACATTGTGGTCATAAAGGGATGGACATGGTCCGCAACAATGCTCAGGTAGGCTGTGGTGTTGCAACGATGCTCAATTGGTACCAAGGGGCCCAAAGAGTGCCAAGAAAATATTCCCCACACCATGACACCACCACCACCAGCCTGAACCGTTGATACAAGGCAGTATGGATCCATGCTTTCATGTTGTAGGCGCCAAATTCTGACCCTACCATCCGAATGTCGCAGCAGAAATTGACTCATCAGACCAGGCAACGTTTTTCCAATCTTCTATTGTCCAATTTCGATGAGCTTGTGCAAATTGTAGCCTCAGTTTCCTGTTCTCAGCTGAAAGGAGTGGCACCCAGTGTGGTCTTCTGCTGCTGTAGCCCATCTGCCTCAAAGTTCGACGTACTGTGCATTCAGAGATGCTCTTCTGCCCACCTTGGTTGTAACGGGTGGTTATTTGAGTCACTGTTGCCCTTCTATCAGCTCAAACCAGTCTGGCCATTCTCCTCTGACCTCTGGCATCAACAAGGCATTTCCGCCCACAGAACTGCCGCTCACTGGATGTTTTTTCTTTTTCGGACCATTCTCTGTAAACCCTAGAGATGGTTGTGCGTGAAAATCCCAGTAGATCAGCAGTTTCTGAAATACTCAGACCAGCCCTTCTGGCACCAACAATCATGCCACGTTCAAAGTCACTCAAATCACCTTTCTTCCCCATACTGTTGCTCGGTTTGAACTGCAGGGGATTGTCTTGACCATGTCTACATGCCTAAATGCACTGAGTTGCCGCCATGTGATTGGCTGCTTAGAAATTAAGTGTTAACGAGCAGTTTAACAGGTGTACCTAATAAAGTGGCCGGTGAGTGTATATCGTACACATTCATGTAGATTTTGAATGAACAATACTTTAAATAAGGGATCTTCTTTGTCAATATCTGGAGAACTGCAGCCCTCAAAATAAACCTGTGGGTGTTTCTCTGGGTGTTTCATGTTCTCCTTGGAGAACTAAAGATGCCTCAAGCTTTGCTAGAGCCAGATCTCTGTCAAGCAGAATATCCTTCTCTTAAGGTTTGACAATGACCTGAATAACTTTGTCTGATTTTTGGATGAAGAGTTTTTATGAAAACATGGACGCTTCTAGCTGTTGTTTTCCTAATCAACTTCAATTTCTCACGAGAAGAAGGGAATGGCAAATCTTTTAGACAACACTCAACTTCTTGCAGATAACCAGTTATGTTGGAGTGTTGACTTTCTGGGACAAAGGTATCAATGTCTTTGGCCAAGAATTCAATTTGTTGAATGATACAATATGGTCACTCAGTGGACCTGGCCCGTCAGGAGACTGATTCTCCTTAGAGTTTTCCAAGCTGTGAATTCTGGCACTTGGTGCTCAATCAAAGTGGTGTGAGACAGAGTAGGGATTAGACAGTTGTACCTTGCAACATTTTAAATCACTTGAGTTTACCAAGTGGTCCAATAGTTTCTGTCTGTCTCTGTCTGTGACACTACCTTGACTTTGAACATCTTCAGAGCTATTTAGTGTTAACTCGGAATTTAAACACTTTGTCTCTGTTTTAGAAACTGTTTTCCTTTCAGCTGGTTTGACCTGGTGGCTTTGTTTATTGCATAGCTCCTCAGAAGCGGGCTTCACCACCATTTGTTCAAACGCCTTGTCACTCTGGCCTTGTTGGTCTTTGATCATTTGAGCTTCCGAAATTAAACGCTTTGCAGCACTAACTCTGTGAAGGATCATCTTATTTTACCTATTTTCTAACTCAGAGTACTGTTTAGCTTTTATTTGGGATTTAATTTGATACAGCAGTGTAAGCTCACAGAGTATATCTGTTATCAGAAAATTTTCATTTGGGGTTTGAATTAAGTTAAATAGTTCTTGAATCCTTTCTCCACATAGACTGGGGTTCAAATTGTTTAGGTTAAAAACTTATCTGGAGATAAGTGGACAAACTTTGCAACAATTTGTTTCTGTTTCTCTATGACTGGAGTCCAAGATGTCCTTAGCATTGAGGATGCTTGGATCCATTTTCAGCTGATGGCACAAAAACACTAGTTATGAAGTATATTTGTATATTTCCATATACATATTGTAAGGACTTATTTTTATGTGTGTAGAAGCAGGTCACAGGTATCTTTAAACCTGTGATATAAAAAAAAACACTTTTCTGTCAGTGTTAAAAATGCTACACCTTGTTTAAGGATTTATTTGCTATTTTAGCGCATGCTTTACCTGTCTCTGAGGATTAATTAGCAGTTTGGCGCAAAGCTTAACCTTTAAGGATTTACTTGTAACTTAGCTTATGCTTCACCCTTTTCTGTGATATCAAAGAAACACTTTTGTTTCAGTGTTAGAAATGCTACACATTGTTTTAGGATTTACTAGCTATTTTAGCGCATGCTTTACCTGTCTCTGAGGATTTATTAGCAGTTTGGTGCAGAACTTAACCTTCAAGTGTTAAAAAACCTTCATGGCTTCCTCGGGTCCACTGATTTGAGTGCAGATCACTTAGATGGAGTGAAATAATAATGCTGGACAATGGAGCTTCGATTCGCCTTTTGCAAAAGGGAGAGCAGCAGCAGCGCGCATCTGCAAACAGCAAGTCTGACCC